CTCTGGGTGGCAGGGGAGAGGCTGGCTGAGGCACAAGGGTCTTAAAGTACAGATAGGCGACTGGCAGCCCCTGCACTTTAGCACCTTCATCCCCCAGCTAGCCCCTGTCACCGTCTACATGTGCTTTTCAACGCACATAATTACTTTGCCATAGGACAGTACTGTCCCCAACAGCTCTATCCTATCTGCTGTGTGGAGCTCCACTGGGCTCTTGCTAGTCCCTACTGCTCAGTAATGATTGCACAGTATCTCTATGCCAGAGCCGTCTAGCTTCTAGATGGAGGAGGTCCTCAGGTAATGTGCATTGTGCAAGCAGTGTTACCACCTTGCCAGCTGCATGCAGAATGTGGGCAACCTGGCCCATTTTTTTGCCATCTCCCCTATTTCCAAGAGTTCAGGGTCCTTTTGCTGCCTGCTCCTAGAGATAGGACAGCAGAAGCAGGAGGAGAGAGGGGAAACCTAGAGACCACAGCCACTGCAGTAGCAGAAGCCACTAGGGGAGTCAGTGGTTTGGTGGGAGCCCAGGAGCCACAAGACCTTACACTGCAAGCCAAACAAATATGAACAGGCTTAGTGTTGTTTGTCTGAGTGGAACAGTCACATAGTAAGGTGAAAAACGTGCTTTGACTGTCTTCCCCTCCTCCCCACACAAGGCTGTGACTTGCCACTAGGCCTTCGATAAGCAGGGGCAGGACTAGGAGTTATGGCAGGGGTAGGCAAAATATGGGTTTTCTGCAGCCCCAGGAAACCCCCAGGACCCCAGGTAAGGCTGCTGGGGCCAGCCCAGTGCTGGCCCCAGCATCCCCTACCCCACCCAATGTGACCTGCTGCACACCAGAGCACGTGTACAGGCGTTCCCCAGGGACAACTAGAAGTGGCACAAGGTGCGCCACTGCTAGCTGTCCCTGGGGAACCAAAAGTCCATGCATGTGTGAATGCAGTCCAAGAGCTCTATCAAAAACAAGATTGAAAGGAAAAAAAAAACCCCACAGGACGCTAACAGGCTCTTTAGTGAAAAAAAATAAAAATAAAAATGAATAGGTGGATTCTGAAACCAAATAAATCCGAATTAGAGATTAGGTGCAGTAAGGATAACTAGCCTTTGAAACAAATTATCATGGAATGTAATGGATGCCTCATCTCTGAATGCTTTGTTGAAAGAAAGGCTTTAGTGGAACAATTTTAGAGGCTCAGTTTAGGATAACCGTAAAATTTAATGGCCTGCAATATTTAGGAGATCAGAATAGATTATTACTACTTTTGACCATGGGTCATTATGGCATTACTTAATATGGGTCATTATCTTTATGGCTGTGGCTCCCACCATGGGTTAGGATCAGCTCTTCAGATAACATTCTCCACTTGTTACAATCTGCTGCATCCTCTGGTTAGATGCTCATTTCTCTAATCTTTCCCAAAGTTGTCTTTTTATGTCTATCCTTGGGTCATCCTCTCAGAGTACTGCTAGCTGAGATTACCTCATAGATCATTTGCACAAATAGGCTTTCTGTCCTGCCCATTTTAAGGCCAAACCTTTGCAACCTTACAAGGTCATTAAGACCTAGCTCTTCTGACCTTCTTGATGATTTATCATACTGCCAGATGCGTCTTGATACTGTCATTTTTCACTATGTTCTTATGGCCAACTCCCACGATCCTTATCAACATTCTCATTTCTACTCTTTCTAGTATCTTCTCTTAGCCCAGGATTCCTCCCCACATATCATACTTGCTCTTATCTTATACAGTTTGCATTTAAGTCCGATTGGCATCCAATTACACAAGACCCCACATATTTGTCTCTATTTTTTCCATACCACACTTACTCATTCTCTGATTACTTCATTATTTGTGTTGGTGCTCAGGTATTTGTATTATTCTACCTACACATGGTGCTAGTCCTTGCCCTTTGTTATCGCTACACTCTCCTTTCAGTTCCCATATATTTAAGAGTAGTAGCTTATTCTTCTACAAAGTAACATACTCTATTGGAACAGCTTTAGGCATGTAAATTAGCACTATAATACTACGCCCCAGATCTATTACCATGCGTTCCTCCTACCAAATCTGTTGTTTTATGTTCTAGGTCCATTCTATTCCCTCTTTGGCAAAGTACTTTGATAAGATCTACTATTGTTCCTATAGGTCCACTGGCTCTGCTTACTTTAGTATTCCTTATCCTTCCCAACACGATGGAGCTTTGAGGCTTTTAAATCTGAGACAGATATTTATAAAGTGATTTCTTAAGGAACCTTGAAAGTACCTAGATCTGTTAAAAGTGCTGGCAATCTGAATTGAAATTTGCCATTTTTTTAAATACATCCAAGTTTCTCATCAGACTCCAAATGTGATTTACTTCTCAAACCAGCAGATTAAAGGCCTAATACACTCTTGCCAGAATGTGCAACACACGTTGCTCTAAAAGTCAACATGAAAGTAAAATGCAGCCAAGTTGTTGTAACAACTTTGTTGTTATTGGTTGTAGTAATATATACCTTAAAAGAATATAAAAAAGGCTTTTCTCCCAAATCACCACTATACCACTACTTATGTTTATTACTCAGATAATCATCTAAAGAAAAGAAAGACATGTAGCAAGGTTTATTACCTCATAACATAGAACCTTTACACAGGCCATGCATACATACCTTCTGCATTATCTCATATTCTGAGAAACAATTTTTGAGGCATTACAGGTGAAGCTGAAGTGAGGGAAAAGTTGCTTCCCCCTTACTCTGCTGTTGTGCAGAAATTCTAGTGAAGTACTTTTTACTCTTTTGCCACCATATCCTGCTTGATTAGAAGGAAACAAGCCAACAGAACAGAGAGAA